CATTCTCGAATCTACCTGAAGACACAACCATTTAATTAAAATGGGTCCAGTCGTTTTTGAGGAGTTCAGTGACATACACATGTACAGAAGAATTATATATATAAAAATATATAAAGATTTCCACTCATGAAACTAAGAAGTAAATACGAAAATATGATATCGTAATTTTTCAGCCCACACATTTGTTTCAAAAGATTGATTTTAATAAGTATTACATAATAAGCTACTGTTCGTAAACAATTCCAACAAAGCATTAGTGTCTTCTAAATAAATCCTGATGCCGTCTGGAAAAAAAGCACTTTACAGGCTTCTTTATGTACATATAACATGGTTGCGAGGTTTTGAAAAAAATCTCGATATTTCCATTTGAAAGTCATTTCGGAAATGAAATTCGAAAGGGAAGTCGTGTCAATGCATTAATTAATTGATCTTCTAAAATTACCTTTTGAGACTTACGCCCGGTTTCTGAAACACTGATCATCGTAGGTGTCAACAAATCAGCTGCCTTTTACTAACCAAATGCCTATTCAAATGTCATTTTGAGTTGCCAAAAGGATCGTACTCTTTGAATTGATAATTAAGAAGATCATTCTGATCAATTCAGAGAGTTTAACCATCCTTTTGAAAACTAAAATGAAATTTGAAAAGCCATTTGACAGCTGTAGAAGACAGACAGCTGATTAGTTGACGTTTCGTTAACGAATAAAAACGGCATTGCATAGCTAGGTTCGGTCTCTTATCGTCGATCCGCCGTTTAGATAAGCGAAGTTCAAGATTGCGAATGGTTCAAAAACAAAATCGAAATTAGGTCAACGTTGTACTGTTTCTATCAAACTCGTCATGGCTGTTTAACCTGGCGTATTCGATAGGTGAATCTATCTTTTGAGCCAAAGGCTGTAGGTTTAATCCCCACAACTGGTTAAATATTATATCATGAAGAATATGGTGATGAGTTGTGAAATAGTGTCCGTCTCGTATATATTTTTTATTGTTTAAAAAAATAAATTATAAATATTTCAGGACACATATTTTACACAAAATTTTCTAGTCCCAAACTATGAGCACTAGACAACGGATAAACTTACTTATTATAGATACCTTTAATATACTATATGAAAGAAAAAATTAAAAAAATCGCCTGAAAGTCTAAAAACAGCACTTTTCTATATTCCAGCACAAAAGATTCGTAATAATACTTAAAAGTCATTTTGAACTTTAATAACATACCATAAACTTATAGTGTTAGTCAAGGGGTTCCGGGAAGGCAAAACAAGTGATTGTGTTAAAATGTCACTTGAAATGTAAACGTCTCTTTGCTGTGCATCACTACATAGTATAAAACAAAGTCGTCCCGCTGTCTGTCTGTCTGTTCTATGTATGCTTAGATCATTAAAACTACTCAACGGATGTTAATGCGGTATTTTTTACTAGATAGAGTGATTCAAGAGGAACGTCCATATGTATAATACATTGCACCCGTGCGAAGCCGGGGAGGGTCGCTAGGGAGCTACCTATGATTTTATTTTGTAAATAAATACATAATATAAAAATATAAACAACCAGACACTGGAAAAACACACATTTTCATCACACAGTATTGTTCCAGCCAGTAGTGGAGATCGAACAAACACCCTCACCACCCATTAGGCACATCGGGTCATCCGCGTCGTAAATAAAAGTATGTTTATGTCATATCAATCATTAGTTAGTTGTTGTTGAACCCATGTCACATGCTTTCTTTAGTTTAAGAATAGCGAAATTTGTTAAATAAGATCCAGTAATATTTATTTAACTGCCCCGGTGAGTGTGCCGTGCGTATGTATCACTATATAGTATAAAACAAAGTCGTCCCGTCTGTCCGTTCCTATATGCTTAGATCTTTAAAACTACGCAACGGATCTTGATGCGGTTTTTTTCACTAGACAGAGTGATTCAAGGGGAAGGTTTATATGCACAATACATTGCACCCGTGCAAAGCCGGGGTGGGTCGCTAGTGTATGTATATTAAAGCTTAGACTAGAACAGAATGTGATCAGCCTTAATTGTAAGCGTGACATAAGGTCAATAAACAACAATATTTTAACTTTTATCAATGACGTTTTAACTTTTTTTGGTGAATTATCATTGGGTTTTCCATTTGGACAGACGGCTGGAAGCGACTTTATAGATAATTTGTAATGATCACAAAATATAAACAGAGACTTTATAAATGGAATTTTACTAGCATCAAACTTTAGCAACCAAGAGATAAGACCTTTTGGTCTCTTAGGTATCTATAGTAAATAAATGGCGTAAAAACGGGATTATATTATACTCGTACACTTCGTGTTTTTGCCATTTGCTATGGAGACTATAATCTCGAAATCAAATAGCACAAAATCAATAATAATGGAATTGTGTCCTTGACATTTTGGCTTGTTAGATATTTTTTTATTTACTTTATGAACTAAACATATTCTACGCAGATAACTGAATCTTATCATCGCGTGGAAACGTGAGTTATATAAAAGGCACAAAGAACGCAGCTCTAATAAAAGATAAAGTCCGCATGTCCACAATAAAATCGCGAGCTGTTCTTTGTCCTTAAATGTATTTACGAGAAGCTTTTGTCCAACAGTGGAATAAACGAGTTTTTTTTATGTGAGAAAGTGGCAAACCAGCTGAAAATTATCACGAGAAGAACTGTTTGTAGATGACACACTGTTTTGGTTCCGTATGAGAATCGAGCCAAAGTACAGCGATATAGCAACTGCTATAGTAGCTTGCCTCATTTCCATGAAACGACATCCATGTACCAAAACTTCGACATTTATAATTTATTTGTAAATTGTCCACTAACGTTTAACACGTTTGAGTGATTAACTGCGTAAAAACGTCAAATATTATTAAATTAATAAACTCTGTTACACAATGCGTTGAAGCCGTGATAGCTCAGTGTCCGGGAACTCGCTTTTAATTCAATAAACTCGAGCAACCCGAGTTCTAATCCCCGTGCCGGCACCAATGAAAATGTTAATCGTAACTTTAAGCGCAAACTTATCACGAACTCAGCGGTCAAGGAAAACATCGCGGGCAAACCTACATATATTCGACTAGCTGCTGTCCGCGACTACGTCTGCGTAGAATAGGCTAAAGGTTCAGACAGAAAGACAGATAATATACATAAAATATGTATAGAAATTATAGCCCATGTCTTATCCTGATGTATAGCTATATTATTATAAAGTTTCGTTAAAATCCGTTCAGTAGTATTTGCGTGAAAGAGTAACAAACATTCATCCATACGTACAAACTTTCGCCTTTAAAATATTAGTATGGATTTACTGATGAACAAAATACTTCGAAGATATATGAAGTCGGCCAATGCTGCGTGGTTTCGCATGGTGAACTATGCTCTAATATCCGCTGTACAGAGGTGAGCTTTGCCCAGATGTGGGACAGTAGGGTGTTCCTTTATAGAGTCCATTTTCAAGTTTTGCAGTATCGTCAAGTTAATAGGTAAGTTTCGCGGCGCCCTTTTCAATTAAAATAAAGCAGGACTAAAACATTATTTATGTAAAATACGTTGGACTTCGTATTAAACGTGTGACATTTGACATCGTTGCTACGCAAGCGCTTCGTTAACATACGAAGTATTTATTGTACGAACCACGTGCGAACGTCATAATCCAAATAATCTTGACTCGTCGAGTTAATGGAAACCATATCTAGAGTAGTAGATCTGTTAAGTATTCAAAATGTTTAAACTACAATGTGCTATAGAATTCAGCGTAGTACAGATTTAATAAATTACCAACATACATAACAAAATAATTGCTGCTATTTAAATTACAGGCGCATAGTTATTATTTCAAATTGCATTATCAGTAACGTATAAATTTTATTGTTATACTTTTTGATCATATTATTTTCCATATTCAATAAAATTATTAAATTACCAATATAGTAAATACTACGCCATAAAAATAAAAAGTATCTACGTACGGCTTTTGACGTCATCTATATAAACTATAAGTGTGGAAAATTTTTATACACCTCCGTCCGAGCAGTTTTCGTAAAAAGTACAAAGTATTTGCTTCACGTATTAACGTATAGAACAAACCGGTCACTTATGATACATAATAACTTAATTATTTGACGCCATTAAGGCATTATTATTAATACTAATACTTTCTCTAATGTGTAATTATTATACGTCCATTAATTCAACTAATAGAGTTAACTGTGGTAGGGCCACGCAACAGTCTTCTCCGTTGCACGAACGTGAGGTAAATGGTAGGAAGTACCACGACCTCACAGAAGACTTCTGCGTTTTTTCTGGAAACTGAGGTAGCCGGGCCAACTATTAAAAGGTGACAACCCTACTATTGTTGCAAATGTCTACCATTATTTATTATCACTTAACATCAGGTGAACCGCTAGACTGCTTACCACCTTCTTTCGTCCTCAACTTTTTACATTATAACTTCAGTAAGTGACAGTTCACATAATTTGCATCGGTTTTTAGATTGATTTACCTAGCCTATAGGTGAATGGCACATAAAATATTTACTGGTACATGTAAGGCCCGTCCCGCCTATAAATCTATTATCAGTACACATAGTTATGACTTGAGTAACATAACGTGATGATAACTTATACCTAGAGAATAGGACAATAATTTTTTGTAAACCCTCTGCCCTGATGTTATGTGAAAAAGTGGTCGTTTACTGTAAACATATTAGATGCCCCACTCACTGCTTAAAATGCAATAAAAATAAATTATATTAATGTACTGAGTTTTCGTTGGTGTGAAGATAAGCCTTAACGGTTCAGTGGCTCACAGCTTTTAGTGGGTAAGAACCCCATATAACCCTGTCACAGGGTATCTTACGAAGATTTCCCCCCCGATACAAAAAAAAAAAGGTTACGCTTTATCCGTAACTGTAACTGTTTTTCTCTCTGAAACATCAGAAACTGGACCATGTTCTGGCAAACGAACTGAACGAGAGGTGTTTCAGGTGGCATGGCGGAGCAGGAGCAGCAGGTTCGATCCTCGTCCAGCGAGAGCGAAACCTTCGAGAAGATCGAGTCGGCCGATGACACGGCATCCAATGTAAGAATCATCCACCACTTTTATTTGTCCTTTATTCGTCTTGTGTTAGACAGGGAAAGCTCGTTGGCAACATTTAATGGCTATTTGATAATCGACGAATAGTTCAAAAGAGGCAATAAAGGAGGTCATCATCATCATCATTCCATCCTGTATGAGCCCACTGCTGTACATAGGCCTCCCCCACAGACTGTCACGATGCACGATCTGACAATTGCACACAGTGGCTGATTTGTAGTCTTGGCCGCCCTAGGCTCCTGCCCATGTAGCAGTGGCAGATTTGCTCTAAGGCCCAATAGGCCCGGGGCTAGGGCGGCACTGATGATAACAAGACATATGATGGGCTCCGAGAAAGGGGCGGCTGGAACTTACTATATGGGCTGGGCCCTAAGGCGGACAAGACTACAAATCCGCCACTGCTATGTAGTAAGTTCCATCCGCCGTGTTCAGTGAATTTTTTGTCACAATTGGGCGCCCCTAATATGTGCCGCCCTAGGCCTGGGCCTATTGGGCCTTAAGGCAAATCCACCACTGCTTGCACAGGTCGTCACTCCATCTAGTGGGGGGCCGTCCTACACTGCGATAGCCAGTACATGTATCTATACTTTTGCGGTTCATCTGGTGGATGAGGCAGCCAGAGACTATTCTAACAGCACAATATCGCGTGGAGTTATACATACAATCTAAATTATTGTCAAACATAAATGTCTACCGTCTCTTTGCCGTGTAAAAGGATTATGCTTCTAAGTCAATGTAAGAGATAAGGCCCTTAATGGCACATATTCAAAATCAAAATCAAAATCAAAATATATTTATTCAAATAGACGCTTGCGCGCTCTTATGAATCGTCAAATTTTACATCAAAGATTATGTGTATAGGTTCGTAAGGTACCACCGGTTCGGAAAGCGGTTTCTGTTGAGAAGAGACCGGCAAGAAACTCAACAGTTGCTCTTTTCAAAAATATCAGGGTACAATATAATATACAGGTATAATAGTCTTATTCTAGCCTACGTGAGTATCAACAGTATTAACTCCACACATTGGCGTCGTCGAGATATTCCGATTGTAAAACTCACAAACTCTGTCGTCTATAAAGTACGACGAAGTCGACCTGGACTAGTACAATTTTGGAGGAAGCAAGTTTTCATATTGTTTTCATATTCACGTTTCACGTTTCAATTTATTGTTAATACTTGAATGTATATATACCTTTTTATATCTTTTTAAATTTTATTAATATTAATTATTAATTATTTTATTTATATCTTTTTAAAAATTTACGACCATTCTGCAATACGTGGTTGATGTGGAAGTCGACTGCAGTCGTTTAGCATAATGTAATGCCATGCGGTCGTCTTTGCTCGTTAATATGCAGTTGAATTCCAAATAGGGCAACACCAGCTTGCTATGCGATTCAAACGCCTTGGAGAGACCTTGGCAGTATAGAATAATACTCTTGGCCGAACAATTTGAATTTCACAGTAATTATCGCTTAAAGAAAAATCCATGGGATTTTGCGTCAATTTCTTTTTGCTTTTGACTAACGATTTAAGTTCAGTAAAGTCTGCTTTAAAATGCTTATTTTGGCGGGTTTGGGGGTAAAAGGGTTATAGATAACTTTGAACGGTGAGCGCGATCTGGTGACTTTTGAAAAGAAACTCTTCAGTATGCACTTGCTATATGCAAATATGTAACCGCAGACAAAGAACATATAGACGGTGAATTCATTCACTCTGAACGTTCTTGATCTCAGTGTAACATGTCAGTCACCTTACTACCGAGCCCAAGACTACCGGGCCAGGGCTTACTTCAACCCTAGGCCGGGTAGTCTTGGGCTCTTAGAATAGGCCTAAGGTATCCCCTGTCTGTCGTAAAAGGCGAATTAAGGGGACACGGATTGGCAACAGTACGAAGTGGTCTCGAGCTGCTTCACGATGTGAAGTGTAATTACTATGCTGTCGTCTGGTCACTGAGGCTATGCTGAGGCTATTTTTATCTTCATCTTTATATATCTATCATCTATCGCAGTCAGTCTACGAATCAACATGGATCTCTACCGAGAGTCATCATACATTTTTTTTAAAGGGAAAGAACCCCAACTTCATTTTTGGCGACGATGTCCCTGATGACATGGAAGACGAGGGTCCCTCGCACGAGGGCCGCGACACCTTCCCCAACGCGCCCCCTCCCAACATAAGGAGAATGCTCACGCCGGCTCAACAGCTGGCGTTGGCAGAGAAGAGAAGTACGCTCAGGTGAGCTATTAACCAATCTATGTAAGGAGTACGATGCTGAATATGAGAAGAATAGAGGTCATCTAATACTATGTACGCTGAGTATGTTCTGACTCGATGACGTAGTTGCTAAGCCATCGGCTAGATTGGGAAGGAGAAAGGAGATAATTTTAGTATATAGTCATCATGCCAAAGCGAAATCCGTCAGAAAAACTTTTTGATAATTTCCTCTCGGCTCCTGATATCAACGTTCCTTTCAAAGTCAAAGTCAACTTACAAGCTCTTATTGAACGTCAACAATAAATCTACCACCGGTTCACTAAACTAGACATGAACAGAGGAGAACCGGCAAGAAACTCTGCGGTCTTGTTGCGTCCTTTGATTCAATTGTACTCGACTTGTCCGAAGGTTGCCATCTTTTAACAGAAACACATTTTTTTATTATTAAGGAGATTTATAGCGAATGTAAAAAATTAAAAAAAAAACTATTTAAGAAGCATCATTACCAGTTCTTTGCAAAGCGAATACTTTTGATACGGTATTTTTCAACCTACTTACGTACGAATATTACTTGTGACGTAATGGTATTTTACAACGCAACAACCGCAAAGTGCCGATTACTTGTTTTTTAATCACAGACACTTTAAAGCAAGAAACGAAGGAAAAATCCTAATCACGCCATTATCTTAGCGTATAAAAAAAGAAATATAAGAGATTACCATACAATACCCGCTAAGACTGTACTCGCGTTTTTTTTTTAATGTTATAAAAGGTGAGAAGCTAGCTGGCGTTTCACCTGATGTAGTGATAACCGCCACCCATTGATGTTTGCAACACCACTTTTTAAAAAAGATGGCCCTGGTTGCCTCACCAATCAGACGAAACCCAGCTATATAACAGTTCCACTACACGCAGGTCTTCTGTGATCTAATGGTACTCACACTTACGTCCTTCCTGCTAATTGTTGCAACAGCAAAGACCGTTGCGTGGGACTACCCTATGCAATATACATGACAACTGTTTTTAGTAGTTTACAACGACTTTGGCCCTAAACTGTTTGCTTTCAAGCTTTACTTTCCTTCAATGCTTAAGGGGTAGATGAGACAACGGAAGCTGAAGATGAATATTGATGATTCTGTGATAGAGCTAGCCACGAAGTAGTTTTCCGAAGGGGCAGGTACGTCCGGGGAAGTACTACGACCACACAAAAGACCAGTGCGAAGCGGTTTTTACTTCTGCGTTTTACTGGGGATCGGGACGAAACGGGAAAGTCTAAGTTCTACTTGACTCCAGCCTTCTGTGAGGCCTTGGCACTTGAAAACATTTTATTGCATAGACTATGAGGCACGCAATAGTCTTCGCTGTTGCAAGAATGTGCGTGTCCGTCCAGGGAAGTGATACGACCTCACAGAGGCACGAAGTGGAAGTGATATTATACTTCTGCGTTCCATCTGGTAAGTGGGGCGGCCGAGCCCTTCTTCATTAAAAGGTGGCAACGCATCTGCAACTCTACGGCTGTTGCAAATGTCTATGGGCGGCGGTTATCACTTATCGTCAGGTAAATAGCCAGCTTGCTTGCCATTTTTTTTTACATAAAAAACGAGATGTATCTGCTGCTTGACTACCATCTAATCTGGATGAGCTCTTAACATAACAGATGATCACTGTCACACGTTTTTATAATCAAGTTTTTGACTCTATTTTTTTATCTTAGAACTTTACTGGAATTCAAAATTTACGGATGCACGAATATTGTTCGAATAAAAAGAGGTCGTACTAGAAATGTTATAATTATGTAGAGTAACAAAAAATATTAACGCCAATATATATGTAAGACTAAAGTATGCAGATTACTTTTCCACTTCTTGTGTGAGATTCTGCAGATTAATGAAGCGAGTTGAGCTATCGTAATTATTAGACAGTATTTTTTGCCCTTACGAAATTTTACGCGACAGATCCGTACATGGATTACATTTATTTTCACCCATTCCTCGTTTTTTACTTCAAACTCGAGGACTTTGTTAAAGCACTAGCACAAGTTAAAGCACACATGGGTTATATATATTTTTTTAAGTGAAAAATTGACCAGCGAGCTGGCGTTTCACGTGATGTTAAATGATATCCGCCACTAATAGACATTTGCAACGCCCGTGGGGTTGCAGATGCGTTGCCATCTATTAATGAAGAGGGGCTCGGCTACCTCACTCACCAAACGGAACACAGAAGTATATCACTTCCACTTTATGCCAGTCTTCTGTGAGGTCGTATTACTTCCCTGAGCGGACCTGCCCATTCTTTCAACAGCGAAGACTATTACGTGCCTCATAGTCTATGCAATAAAATGTTTTGAAGTGCCACAGCCTCACAGAAGGCTGGCGTCAAGTAGAAGTATTAGACCTCCCCGTTTCGTCTGGTGAGTAATATAACTGAGACTCGCTTTTTGAAAAGTTGTCAACACATCCAAAATAGCCCTCAGGTTTTGTAGATGTTCATGGGCGGCGGTGTTCACTTACAATCAGGTAAAGCGCCTCCTCGATTGACAATTGATCACGGTGATGGGGCATCGCAACACTGTTGCATTCGGGCAGGTCCGCGCGTGTAAGTATCACGACTTAACTAAGACCGGCGTAAAGAAGAAGTGTTACACTTCTGCGTTTCGTCTGGTGAGTGAGGTAGCTTACTTAAGGATTTGATTTAAAGGTGGCAACGCATTTGCAACCCTACGGGTGTTGAAAATGTCACATCACACAATAACACTTGAAATCATGTGAACCGCTAGCTCGTTTGCCACTTTCTCTCATAAAATAACAACTTTTAACAAACTCTACCCTTAATATTTTACTGTTAAAATTTTTTATTCATCATCTAAGTACGATATATGTCAAATTTTATTTTCCCGCGCAACATGGCCACAGATTATATAAGTTGTGGTTGGTGAATACGAATTTGAATTCTTATCACAGTGCAATGGACGTTCTCGGTGACGTAACACCATCCATGACAGCTTTGGTACATATCGTTAAAGCCAGTAACACACTTATTTCAATATCAAGATATCACAGCTCGTTTCAGCATAATTTTGGTAAAGAGAGACTTGTGTGGTCGTGTATTTAAAGCGGGATGCACCGATAAGGATTTCTTGTTCGCATCTCTTAAACACTTTAGTAGATAAAATAAAAAATCTTCAGTGTTGTATTGCCTGTTAAAAGTGTCAGATACACAATCTGTCGTGTTCTTGAACTTACTAAGCTTAAGCAAGTAAAAAGACAACACAAGCCTAGGTATGTAAGATAATCTTCATCTATTTAAACTTAACTAAATATGTCTGTAAAATGACGTAATATCATAAAATTGTTTTCAGTAATAATTAACAATATTTGCTACAACTTTTAGTAGTCGCACTCGCATTCAGTGTGCGCTCACCTTAATACCATCTACGCTGCTGTTTATGCGATGGTGCCAGAAATGGCGGCAAAACGTAAGTTCACGTTCAGTAGTGGTTGTACAGCCTTCCGGTAAACGCTGCTGCCTTTACGCCGGCACCATTAAGAAAAATCGTGACTATAGAAGCGTAATTAAAAACAATCAGTGGTAAGATAGCCAGTGCATGTGTACGAAGTGCAGTGTACGTTCGGATTGCGCGCTATTTTTAAAAGTGTTCTATTTTCGTTTGTTTTCAAAGTTTGGTTGAGAGTTGTGTTGTTTTCCTTTTTACAATGTTGCCACTGAAAATGTTCTATTAACAAGCGAATATTTGGCTGGCTGCTTTTGACATTTTCTCTTAATTTTTATTTATTCGATATAAATAAAATACAAATTTCAATTTTCATTTTTCCACATAACGCAGTTTTGTCATTGGAGTGTCAGATTAAATTGCCACTTAAAGTGAAAAGCTATCGTGATGTTAGATTTTAATATCCTTGTTTCTTCACTTTATGTAAATGATGTAGTATCGACTTTTATAACTGACAAGTGCCGATATGAAATATTATCGGCGAAATCTATCAGCCTCATCGTATGCATATGATAGTTTCCGATAAACCTAACAACATTTCGAGAGTCATTATCACTTTGTATCAATGTAATTATTAGTAATTTCAATCATTAAGCTTATTGTGCGCCTAAGAAACGACAGTCGATATGAAACCAATGGGTAGTTTCACTGCGACTTGGTGGGTGAATATTTCTTTCGTATATTTTAACTAATCGTTGACGAAATGTCATGTTCGTTTTGTTTCATTCTACGTAGCCATCGATGAGTTTTTCTTTGCGGAAGTTTGGTATTCGAATTTAAGTAAATCCCACTTACAGCAAGTTACATTTACACATTATATTTCTTAAAGTCAAATAATGTTTAACCTTTACTCTTACGTGCGTGTAATATTTATTCTGTATTTAATACTAATTACATCATTAGGAGGTGGATTAGGTTTATTAGATAATATCTAATTTTAGATAGATTTAATCTTGTAAATATAAGATCAATAAAGATTGTACATTAAAAAAAATTACATCATCTTCGTATTTTCTTTTCGCTAACCATTGAGGTTGATTTAAAGTGAGAATTAAATTACTAAATAATTTATTGATTTTACAATTTATTTGTATTGAAGTGTTCATCGGGTTTAGGATAAAAACAACCGAGAATATTAAATGTTTTATTATTCACGTTCCGCTTGGAGCACGTAAAACGCAAATAGTTTTTCATTTAAGACGTTTTCGACTTAACTGCGAGTAGCGACGTCCGTCGCAACATTATAACGTCATTTTTGTTTTGATTGCCAATTTGATTTTTTTCTTGACACATCGTCAACACCAACGTCGTTTGAAAAGTGCTAATGATTCAATGATAACACTCGACTAATAAAATCTGAGTGCGCCGCTAATTATCTTAATAAACAAGAGTATCGAGAGTTCGCAACTTACATCTCTTCTCAGATCTCTTTTTGCGGTGCCGATTTAGTGACACTTTTTCAAAATTGAAGCTTCTCTTGTATTAACTAAATTCAAAGGTACATATA